AACTCAGCGAAATCTCACTACAGAACAAAGCCGTCAAAATAATTAGCCTGGGAAATGAATCTCGACGACGATCGCTTTCGTTTGGAAGCCATCAGAACAACAGTCAACAAATGTGGAAGGAAAAAGTCACTACTCCTCCAAACGAAGAGGAACTGATCTCTACTCCGTTCACGACTCCAGTCTCGCGCCCAGTAAACAATGGCAAGGAAATCCAACAGCTACATGATAATATCATGTCTGATCTACAAGGGGTGACATCTAAGTACATCAATGTTTCGGACCCGATTGAGAGGGAGGCTAGAAGACAACGGGTTTTAGAAGGTGAAACAAATGATCTAATGGCTAAGACAGCGGCTACTATGCTAGCAGATGCAATCAACAAGGGACATCAGAATGCAAGCAATCACGCGTTCTATTCAGCTTTGGAAGCAAACATCGAGGTTGTTCAAACTTCAGAGCATGAACCTTTGGTGACCAGAGAGGAGTTTACACAACAAATTCCTCCAAGGAAAAGGGGCCGGCCCCCTGGCAGAAACTCGACATCGTCCAAACAACAAGTACTCCGTGGGACAAACTCGAAAAAGAGAAGAGTTACTATCCAAAACTCACCAAAAATCAGGAAGTCTTATGCGACTCTGAACATCAATGAGGGCCAGGTTGTCAGTAATCGAACCACTCAGAGGAGGAAGCCACCAATCCCAAAGCCAACCACGACAAATGCAGCAGGATTGGAAGAGATAGGAGAATCTTCTCGATCCCAAAAACCAAGAAAGACGTAACAATGCAGTGGGGGAAGCTCAGCTCCGACAAGGGCGGATTTTCACAAACCGCCCAACTCTCTTCCTTAAAGATATTGAGCTAGAACTGTTGCGGGTTGGGGAATCCCACAACGGTTCAGAGACTACGGGAGATGAAGAGAGATTTTGATCTTGACATCATGTTCCTCTTGGAAACAAAAAATCCCCCAGAGTTTGTAAACGATAAGCTAGCTGACTTACACTTTGTATCGAGAGTCCATGTGCCACCACATAGTCCGGGTGGAGGCGGACTAACTCTGTTATGGAATTCATCAATCAAACTCAATGTTCTTTATGTGTGTGACAACTTTATTGATTCAGAGATTGAGTATAAGAACAAAAAGTTCTTCGCAACTTTTACTTATGGAGCCCCCGAGCAGGCTCGACGCAGAGAAGTATTACATCACCTCACTCTAATCGCTTCGAACAGAACAGGCCCCTGGTTCCTTACTGGTGATTTTAATGATATTATTGACAACTCTGAAAAAGAAGGCGGACCAGCGAGAGCGGAAGGGACTTTCATTGACTTCAGGACCTTCATGTCTCAATGCGACCTTTATGATCTTCGACATTCGGGCAATCAACTTTCTTGGAGAGGGGTTAGACATTCTCACACAGTGCATTGTAGATTGGATAGAGCGATGTCCAACAATCTATGGGCGGAATTACTTCCGTCTGGACGATGCTCGTACCTCAACTTTGGCGGATCAGATCACCGACCAGTCATCACTTTTCTCGAACCAGACACAAGAAAGAAAAAAGGACTTTTCCGATATGACCGGAAATTCTGCAAAAATTGAGGAAGTAAGGGAACTTATCGCCAAGGCATGGATGGAAAATGGAGACTCAGTAGAGAGCAAAATCGCAGCTTGCAGGAGTGCTATCTCCAAGTGGAATCGTCTTCACCACGTAAACAGTCAACTCCTAATAAACAAGGAAAAGGAACGCCTAGAGGAAGCGATGACTAGCTCTAGTCCTAATGAAACCCTGATCTCTGAGATAAATGCCAATTTGCGAAGGGCTTACAAAGAGGAGGAGGAGTATTGGAGGCAGCGCAGTCGTACCCTATGGCTAGCACTAGGAGACCGGAACTCCGGATTTTTTCATGCCACAACAAGGCAGAGATGGGCGATCAATAAGTTCTCTATAATTGAGGACTCCCAAGGGACCGCAGTCTTTGAGGAACATGAAATCATGGGAGTGATCTCCAATTACTTCGAATACTTGTTCAAATCTAATGACACGGATGCTACAAGGATAGTGGGGGAAGCTATCGTACCTACTATCACTGAGGAGTCAAATGAAGTTTTCTCTGCAATACCATCCGATAAAGAGATAAGAGCAGCAGTTTTCTCAATTCACCCGGACAAGGCGCCAGGTCCGGATGGGTTTTCCGCTGGGTTTTTTCGCACAAACTGGAGCACAGTGGGTCCGGCAGTGGCACGAGAAATCAAACTCTTCTTCAGCACATGAGTCCTACCGAACAACATTAACCATACCCACATCAGACTAATACCAAAGATTTTGTCTCCGAGAGTTGTGGCGGATTACCGACCAATTGCGTTGACAAGCGTCTACTACAAGATCATCTCCAAGATTATCACCAAGCGGCTCCAACCAATTCTGGACTTCATCATCGCAGAAAACCAATCTGCTTTTGTCCCTGGCCGAGCAATAGCTGATAATGTCATGATCACCCATGAAACGCTTCACTTTTTGAAAAGATCGGGAGCGGTCAAGCATTGCTCTATGGCAGTAAAAACGGATATGAGCAAAGCTTATGATCGGCTAGAGTGGAACTTCATTGAGGCTGTTCTGACGAGATTCAGATTTAATGACATCTTCTGTCAGAGAGTGATGAGCTGTATCACCTCAGTGTCCTACTCGATTTTATTCAATGGTGAAGCCCAGGGCCATATTTGCCCGAACAGAGGAATTAGGCAAGGAGATCCGCTCTCTCCATACACCTTCATCATGTGTAGCCAAGTGTTATCGGGACTGTGTTTGTCGGCCCAAAGACGAGGTACACTGGCTGGCGTTCGAGTGGCCCGTGGCAGTCCACGTATAAATCACCTCTTATTTGCTGATGATACTATGTTTTTTGCAAAGACGTCACAGCAAAGTGTGGACGCACTAAAGGAGATCCTGGCTAAGTACGAGCTAGCGTCGGGTCAGATGATCAGCACTGCAAAATCTTCTATCACCTTCTCAAAAAAGACACCGGCGGATGTGAAGAGTAGAGTAAAAACCAGCTTGGGAATCAGCAAGGAAGGAGGTGTGGGAAAATACTTGGGATTGCCGGAGTACTTTGGAAGAAAAAAGAAAGATATGTTCACATCCATTGTAGACAATATAAGGCAAAAAACGGCGAGCTGGAGCACAAAAAAGCTATCTACTGCTGGAAAATTAGTTTTGCTTCAGTCGGTCTTGCTAGCTAAACCATCATATGCAATGACTTGCTTTAAACTACCTCTTAGTCTCATCAAGCGACTCCAATCAGCATTCACTAGGTTTTGGTGGGACTCTAATCCCGACAAGCGTAAGATGTGTTGGGTTGCCTGGTCGGAGTTAGCAAAGCCAAAGGGAGACGGTGGTTTGGGCCTGCGAGACATCTAGATGTTTAATGTGGCATTGTTGGCAAAACAGAGTTTGAGAATTGCAACAAAACCTGACTGCTTGCTGGCAAAAGTTTTACTTGGAAAATACTGCAAAGATAAGGAGTTCCTCAAGGTTCCGGCGTCTTCTTCATGCTCACACGGGTGGCGCAGCATTCTGTATGGCCGGGATCTTTTGCTAGCTAATACGGGAAAGGCAATTGGAAATGGTTGTGATACGGCATTGTGGGATGACCCTTGGCTCTCCTCATCTACCCCTACTAGGTTGATGGGACCGGCTTCTGCGGAAACTAAAGACTGGAGGGTATCAGACCTCATCGACAGCACAACAGGCGACTGGGATTTAGGTCTAATAAATCAGCATGTACCTCAGGCTACTACTGAGATCCTCAGTATTAAACCTAGCAAGCTTGGAACAGCCGACGAGTTGGTATGGCTCCCAACAACTGATGGGGTTTACAGTACTAAAACTGGATATTACACAGGCTTATCAATGAAGGAGACTCTGCAGCCTTTGGTCTCTCCCCAAGCTCCCTGCAATTGGAACACTGATATTTGGAGAGGAGTTTTCTCCCCAAAAATTAGAGTTTTTCTCTGGAAAATTGTGAAAGGTGCATTACCTCTGGGCGAGAACCTCGAAAAGAGAGGCTTTGCGTCAAATTCTCTGTGTGTGCATTGTGGCCTTCATGAAACAGCAACACATCTCTTCCTCCACTGCAGGTTTGCACAACGTATATGGGACTTGGCTCCCATCCTCCATTGTGGCGTGATCGCTAACGCAACTAGCTTCGACAAGGCTCTAACGGCGGCCAAAAAACTCACGAATTTACCACCAACAGGTTTGGGATTGGGACCTTTGTTCCCATGGATATGCTGGACTATTTGGACATCTCGAAATCAGTTAATCTTCGAAAACAGAGTGATCACAGCTGAAGAAACATTGTTAAAAGCTGTCGTTTTGGCGCGCGAATGGCAGGAAGCTCAAGTGCAAGTTCATCAGCAGTCCTCAACGAGCTCCCAAGGGATAGAAAGATCAACCTTCCAACCTAGAATTAATCTCACGTATGACACAGTGGTATACACAGATGCAGCGTGGAAAGATAACAAGGCGGGACTCGGTTGGATTTTCACAGATAAAGCAGACAACATAATCGTGCAAGATTGTAAACTGGATTTGTTTGTGTCTTCTCCCCTCATTGCAGAGGGACTGGCCATCCGTGAAGCTCTGTACCAAGCAAGACAGAAGGGCTTCACCACCTTGACAGTGAAATCGGACGCTCAGACGCTAGTCAGAGCCATTAACAACAGGAAACCTCTTAAAGAGCTCTTTGGAATCATCCATGATATTCTTAAATTGTCTCTAGAGTTCTCTGTTATCTCGTTTTTTTTTACATTCCCCGCAAAAACAATTCAGCGGCTGATTCCCTTGCCAAAGGAAGTCTGCTTGCTTCTGATTCAGCTCAGCTTCATGTGTAACGTTTCTTATCTTTAATGAAATCGTCGTTCAAAAAAAAAAAACTTGTCTTTTGCAACACAGAGAGACCGAGGGGAGAGTTTCCTTCATCATCTTCCTTGAGAATGAGATGCTTCACATTGTTGAACTCCACCTCAGTTCCAGATTACTTGGAGTAAATGATTTGTGCTCTAGTCTACACAACAAGAAGAAAGGCCAATATTAGCATGAAACCGAAACAAACAAAGAAAGAGCAGCGGCTTGAAAGGGATTATGAGGTTTCTTTACAGGGACAGTGATATCAACTTTGTTCTTCCCAATAATTCCCCCTTCACCGACAGCAACGACTTCACCTCCTTGAGGTTTCTATTGAGCTGTAGATGGAACTTGGAAGTAAGATACCTCCCATAGTCTTCTCCTCTGCCTCCTTGATCTTCACCAAAACCCTATCTTCTAATGGCTAAACTGAAGTGTAGTGTAAATTACACAAGAAACAATCAAAAACTTATAATTCATAACTAAAGGAGAAGGAAAATATCTAAATATCTTTACACACCAAGCTTGTAAAAGTAACCAAAAGCTAAGTTTTTCTTTTTATGTGGCCAGAGCTATATAAACAACAATCCAAACATTCAGATAAGTTTTTCTACATGTTCAATCAAATGAGCAGAAAGCCAACAAATTTAATTTATTCTACCAAGAGCATAATCAAACCAATCCCAAAGTACTCAATACTCCCTACATCGCTTAGCACCAATCCAAAGAAAAGCTCTTCAAGGCCGCCATGTTAGGCTAAGAAACGAACAAGCAATAATTAATCACCAATACTAGTCAAAGTCACCATATTCACTACATGATTCCAATAAATGAGATTCCTTTCCATCTTCAGTGTAATGTCAGATAACTCAAACTGTGGAAACTTGATAGGAAAAATCACAGCTTCCTGTAAAGCTTGCTTAGCGTTTTCAAGCCCAGCAACATCTGTCCACTTAATGTTAGGTAGGCTTCTTCTTCACAAGAGTTCAATCCAGCTCGGAGCTTTGATTTCTCTGTGTCCTCTCCATCCTTTCCACATTCTCCTCCATCTAAATCGGCTTACTCTTCGTCTTCGAGAAGGGCACATATCTCCTCTACTCGGTGAGCTTCTGGGTAATAGCTTCTCTGATCTTGGGATTCTTCTCGTACTTGAAATGCGTTTTGAAGTACTCAAGTGTGTTCACGTACAGAGGGAAAGCCTTATTGTAATTCCCAGCATCGTCTTTTTGAACGCCTTGCTTCACGTACTCGACTTTGAGAGAAGAGACAGAGAATTGAGAGAGGAGGATCCCGACTTAGATGGAAATTAGGGAGCGATAAAGAGGAGAAGGGAGAAGTTAGAGATGAAAGCTTCATTAAGGAACAAAAGTCCCTCAACTCCATGCCTCTCAAACCTCATGACATGAGTCATCATCATCAAATGGTGCGATGGTCTAAAGGATTGATTTAACGTGGCTACTCTATATATGCTCCAAACCTTACATATCTTGACGTCGTTAACTCAGAGCAAGTAGAGGATATAATTAAAGTGAGTAGTGTCACAAATGAGGAGCCACGTAGTATCATTCCTTTTATGAAACTAAAATATCTTCACTTGTCTCATTTACGTAAGCTGAAGAGTATCTGCGGAAGATCTTTGCCATTTCCATGTTTGAAGAAAATTCAAGTAAATGATTGTCCAGAGCTACGTAAACTTTCACTAGATTCTACAAGTGGGTGTCCAAGTAAAGGACTCGCCATAAAATCGGAAGAGAAAGAATGGATCGAAAAGATTGAATGGGAAGATGAACCCACGAAACAAAATTTCTTTATCTAATTCCTACAAGTTTACCACTTGTCTCTGAATTCGCCAGACAAAGTATGCCTCTTTGCGTTATCTATTTTATCATTTGAATGGATCTTGTCGATTCTCTCATTAAGCTTCTCACGCTATGGGTGTTCATAGATGCTTTTTAGCTGCTAGGAGCAAGTTCTTTCTCGACTTGTTCAAGAAAGATAGAGCGAAAGCAGTGCAAAGAGTGTGGAGAAACTAAAGTATCTTATGAAACATCTGCTGTCTCATGGGCGCAAGGGGTTCCTGCACTGAGAAGCTAAAGCCTTCTCCTATCGATGTTTCGACTTGTGGTGATACAGTTTGAACTCATGAGTCTTATAAACCTTCCACTGATTTTTCGGTTGAGTTAATGTATGCTTCATATGCGTTCCAAATAGTAGGTAGATCACTTTTTTTATCTGGGCAATATTCCTCGACAATAGTTGTAAGCAAAGGTCACTTGTTCTTGTACGAATCACTGTGACCTAGCAACATCACATCACTGTGGTGTCTAAAGTGGTTAGTAGAAACGGTAGAACCCTGACAGCATCAACAAAGCCATCAGCACAGTGAGAGGGAGTTATGATCAATCCAGATATGAGATGATCCAAAGATATACACAAAATAGAGACTTATGATCAGTTCATACCATAACTAAATTATTTATCTTCTAAGGTTACAAAGATAAGTTTTTTTTTGAAGTTATAAAAATAGATTTTGACTAAAAATCTCAAAATTAATTATTATTATTCTGAATATGTTAACACTAATTATCCTTTTTGTAAAAGGAATAAAAAAACAGAAAATCAGTTATATAAAGAGATACGAGGATTTCTCTGTATTGTTGTTCCCCTATTATCCCCCTCTCTTCTTCACGCTCTCGCAGCTCGTCTCTCGCAGCTCGTCTCTAGGGTTTTAGGGTTAGTTACCAAATTAAGGGCTAACGATTGCTACATAGGTATTGGGAATCAAGTATGGAAAGTAACAAGGATAAAGCTATAAAATCAATAGGTATTGCCGAGAAGAAAATCTCAGAGAACGATTACGTAGGCGCCAAGAAATTCGTCAACAAGGCTGAAAATTTGTATCCAAAGCTTGATGGATTGAAACAAGTATCGATGATGATTGATGTCTACATCTCTGCATCAGATAAGATCAACAGAAAAGGAGAAGCTGATTGGTATGGAGTTCTTGGTGTTGATCCTTTGGTTAATGATGAAGATCTGAAAAGACAGTACAAGAAGTTAGCTCTATTGCTTCATCCTGATAAGAACAAGTTTACTGGTGCAACAGAGGCGTTTAAGCTGATCTCAGAAGCTTGGTGTGTGTTATCTGATAAGGCTCAGAGATTTGCTTATGATCTGAAGAGGAAATCAACAGATATAGAGGGTGGAATGTACCAGAAAGAACCAAAGCGACACAAGCCAGATTTTTCAAGGAATAAGCCGAAACATGCGAATGAGTATGAGTATGAGCCCCATTTTTCATGGAACAAGGCTCAAAATGCGACTGGGCCAGAGTTTTCATGGAATCCTGGGAAAGTCAAAATCAGAACCTTTTGGACAAAGTGCGATAGATGCAACACATACTGTCAATTTGAGAGTGGTAGTGCTTATCTTAATAAGACCTTATCTTGTCCAAACTGCAGACAGGATTATGTTGTAACCGAGATAGAACTAGAGGTGATGGGAGGGAGGCGAGTCGTTAGGTTCAACAAAAGTAGAACTGATACTTCTTCTTCAAGTACTTCAGCATCTGATAGCGCAACGCTGCAGAAGAAAGAATGAAAAAGATTATTTGAGCATTATTCTTCATCTGAGCAAGAGAAGGTGTGGACTTGATGATGTACACGTTTATTATCTATGTTTCGTTTTTGTTCTTTATTTTATGCATCAGGAATACATTTTGGTTTGATATAATGGCAAATTTGGTTCTTTGCTATAGAGGTAAGAGACTAGCTAACACTATTTTTTAATTTGGCTCTTTGCAATCTCCACAACATTATTATCTTCCGTCTGATATGTTGCATGATTTTTTTCTTCTTGATGGTGATGGTGAAGCTTTGAGATGATGGGGAAGTTCCACTTACCATGCGCAGTTGCTAAGGTTTGATAAGATTATATTTGTCTAATAAGTGTTCTTCTTTATTATGTTCACACCACATTTGTTTCTCTAATATTTTTCCAAATCTTGGGCCAGACATAGACCTAATGAACTAGACAAAGACAATTGAAATTTTCTTAGTACATTAAGTGCTTGAGAAATTTGACTATGTGAAATAACACATGAAACAAAACCAAGTAAAAAAATGCATTAACGTGGTCTTCTTCTTGATTAGAAGACCGATGTGACTGATTACGATCAAGCTGTTATGAGCCGTTGATTATTGGAAGAGTTCGTAATCGTGCGGCTGAGAACTGGACCGCAAAAGATGTGGACATGCTTGTACATAAGTTAACTAACCCGTAATCCTTGCTGAATGACACAGCTCAGAGTAGTCTCAGACTGCTAGAGGAATTGCAAAGTCCGATTATTTTTAAGAAGCTGAGGACAAATGCTTGTGCAGAGCAGCAGAGGTAAGTAGTGTAACAAACAACCCATGTTTTTAGGTTAGTCCTGAATGATATCTTTTTATGATCATTGTATATGAAATGTTATGCATCTTAGATTCTAGATTTGGGAAAACTACAGTGGAACATGGGAAGTTCTTCTCCTATCATCATCATTGTGAAATGTCCAAATTTTTATTTTATGTGTATCCGAATTGTAGTTTATCCGAATTGAATATATTTTTTTCAATCGGGAGCCAGTTAATTAAAGTGGCCACCTAAACTGTCAGGTTTTTCATTTAATAATAAACATAAATCAGTACTGTACAATAAAGAAGAAGTAAGAAAAAAAAATATTTCACAATAAAAATAAAATATATAAAAGGATAAGAGGTAATTTTTAAATGATAAATAAACACTAGAGTTTGACCCGCACGTCCGTGCGAATGTTTTTCACTTTTATCGAAATCAATATTTATTGTACCAAGTTTCAACTAAACCGGGAATCTAACTTTTAACAAATTGACATATATGGTTTGCTTATTACATGACTTGACACTCAGCTGCCGGTTCTGTAAGGACTAATTGTTTTGTCTTGTGTGATAGCTTCGGCAACATATTTGGCACATATAGTGGCAACTCTCAGTGATTCAAAATTATTTTAAAAGAAAGATTTGAATATTTGGTTTAGGTTTGGTTTTTCAATTTTCAGTTATCACACACTTAAAAAAAACATTAAAAAAAAACTAAAGAAGCGTAGAACAACGTAAATGGTTGATAACAATAAATAAAACACACTTGAAGGGCTTACTACTCCTCAAATCTTTCTATTACTAATGCCTTCTCTTTTTTTATCTTTCTTTTGTACTCACCAAGACACATCCCTTTCATTCATTCAACAATCAGGTTATGTGACTCTTAAGCAGTTCCAATTGTCTTTGGCTTTCTAACAGAACATATGATGCTAACTCTAACTGTGTACCAGCACCGTCTTGTCATAGCATCTCGATGCAATGTACAGATTCTTTGCCCATTTTTCCCGACATAATCAAGCAGCATCGCTCAGTTTTATGTACATAGAAACAAAACAAAAACCAAAAGATCCAATTTCTGTTCAAAACAAAAAAAAAAACCCACATTGACATGAGTACTTGGAAAGGCAGTGGTACGAAGAGTCTCATGAGTTTCACTTTCCATTTTATGCTTTGATATTCTTAATATGGAAGCTGATTGATCTGCAGTTGCTGCCATTTATGTTATTCTTAACTCATTCTCTCACTTCATGTGTATTTTATCGCTTGGGTACAAAAGTCAAGCTCCACCATCTCTATTAAAATATATTGGGAATCTGACGTACCTCAAAGGATACATAAAGGTTTGTTTATGCCAAACACTTAGAAGACTAATTTAGATATCACTGTGACCCAAACATCTATAAAATCTGTAAAAGATAAATTGTATCTAACCACAAAAGAAAGAAAAACAACATCAAAAAAACCTTTACTACCACACATGAGAGGTGCATCCAAAAATGAACAGGAAATACTTTCAGAAGATAAATAAGCATCGATGTTGTTTAGGAATGAAAGTTCATATATTTATCAGCAAAGATTCTGTGTTTACCACTAATAGTGAATTCAAAATTTTTTTGACTCCATTAGCAACTAATTAGCCTCATAATTTCTACAATCCCAGACGTATATTAACAAACCAAGATTGGCTAGCTTACAAAAGATGAAGTAACCGCCTTTGTTAGTGAGCTCATGAGATGCTTCGTCGCTGGATCAAAAGCTCTGGTGGAATAAAAAGAATTAACTTGAAGCCTCTCCATTCATTCTTAGACCAGCTTGCAGAAGACGAAGTGAAACAAAGCTGACGAAAAACTGCTTCTCAGTATGCTTCGTAATCTGGTGTCACAAGTAAACTCAGAATTATAATCATACACATAGAAGATCCCAAATTCGTAAGCTTGCCTTGTTGGAGAAAGAGAATGGCCTAGATTTCACAGTAAGAGGACCTCTGCAAACAGGTCCAGCAGCTCCTCTTCCAGTTCCGATTAAACCTTTTGCTCCACAGCGGGAAAGTCCTCTTAACCATATTATCAAGAGAAATACTCTAAGAGTCCGCCATCTTCAGCTCAATTAAATCTTGAAAATACAATCAAAATTAACAAATCAAGCACTAAATTCTTCCCACAGATATATAAAACTCAAGCCCATATACAATCAAACATCTCTGACAAAAATTGACGGAAACTCATCTCAACGGACAATATCGACATATTTTAGTAATCTAAACCCAAACTGACATCAGTTCTCAATCGAAAACTGAAAAAAAATTGAATTCAATCTGACGAATCAACGGCTATGAAATTTTACCAGATGAAAGATAAAAAAAAGATAGAAGAAGATGAACAATTCAGCTCGTATAAATCAATCAGGGAGTTAGGGATTTATGGTCTTTGAGAATTTGGGAGAAAAGGGAGTTAATGGGTAGTAATGTGTTAAACGACGTGTTTTAATTCAGTGGCATAGTTATGTAATTATTTAGGAAAATTCAAGGGTATTTTCTATTTGTAATCATGTTTTAATAGTTTAAACTAGATTTTGATCTGCACGCCCGTGCAGGTATTTGTTTTAACTTTTAAAAATATACTATATATGTTTATTGTACATAATATTATGATATTGGTGTTGGATTATTATTCATTTTGATTTTTTTTTAATTATAGACTAATTATACATTGTATTGAATGTTGTTTTATATTTTTGGATTTATAACGCATATAAAATTATTAGTAATACAATAAATAAGCAATTATTTAAATTTTTATTTAATTTTATGTAACTTTGATATTATTTATGTAAATAAAATTTTGAAATAGTTATTATATATATAAATATAATATAAAAAAAGACTACTTAGTTTTGAGCGAGGGGAAATAATATGTTTTAATATTTGCGAAATGGTAAAAATGATTTTATATCATAATATTTGTATTATTTTATATATATACAACCAATTATAATGATTTTATATCATAATATTTGTCAACATAATCTTAAGAATATAGCATTTAAAATTTTCTCCAAATTTGAGGACTGTGTAAAGTTATATTCGAGGACTCTGTAAAGTTATGGTGGTTTTGATGAATTTGAGTTGTCTTGGTTAATGATTACAGCTTTAACAACCTTTTTTTTTGGTAAACTAATTAAACTGAAGGAATTATTGACGTGGTTAGTTAAAATTTCTAAGCCAGTGGTTTGTTTTAGGTGATACACTACAAGAAAACTCGTCCATTACTAGGACGGGTTTTCCTCGTTAGTTCCTAGTAAATGGCCTTTTACTAGGAACTTACGAGGAAACGCGTTTCCTCGAAACACGTTCATCGTAAAGCCATTTTCCTCGTAAGGTCGTAGCGAATTTACGAGGAAAGTTTTCCTCGTAAAGGCGTGGTAATATTTTCCTCGTAAGGTCCTCGGAAGCTTTCCTCGTAAGCTCGTAGTAAACATTTCCTCGTAAGGTCGTAGTGAAACATTACGAGGAAATAACTAGAACTTTTTACGAGGATATTACTTGGAATATTTTACGAGGATTTTGCTTGGAAATGTTTTTTTCCTATTAAAAAAATAATTA